ACCCTAAACCCTAAACCCTGCCCGCAGGATGCCGTGGAGACCCTGAACTTCGAGAAGAGCCGCGTGGGCCTCGGCGACATCTACGCCAAGCAGTACGAGGCGCGCGTTGTTGACCCGGGGAGGGCTAAGGCTCTATAGGACCTTGGGCCCAGGTCTGATTTCTTCAGCTCAAAAAATGCTTCTCTTTTTTTTGTCTAGATTTGTAGATATGTATAAAAATACATATATTACACACACACATATATATATATATATATATATATATATATTATGTTGGGCGAGCACAGGTCATAAGTACACGCATCTACCTTTCTCAGATGTTATCGTCATACGAAGTTCGCGGATGAGTCCAGCGGGGCCCGGCCGTTGAGCTGAAGATGGCAGCGGGCAGCAGTAGGTAGTATTATTAGGGGTACCCCATAAAGGGTACTTCTTCTGAGCCCTACTTTTGGCTCTCTTAAAAGGGACCTTATTGAGAGGGTCTATATCCCCAAGGGTCCCCCTACTCCTGGCACCCACTTTATTCCTAAACCCTAAACCCTAAACCCTAAACCCTAAACGCTAAACCCTACACCTTAAACCCTATCCCCAAGGGTCCCCCTAATCCTAGCTCCCACTTTATTCCTAAACCCTAAACCCTAAACCCTAAACCCTATCCCCAAGGTTCCCCCCAATCCTAGCTCCCATGCAGGCAGAGATGCTAGGCCATCAGACGGATCAGCAGAAAGCCGAAGACAAGGACAGCCCGGGGTCGGGTAGTTTAGGGCCTTTGGGGTTTAGGGTTTAGGGTTTAGGGTTTAGGTCGGGCAGTTTCGGGCCTTTGGGGTTTAGGGCTTATCAAGTTCCTTTAAAGCATCTATAAGGGCTCATTTGTAAAGTTCCTTGAAGGGATCTATAAGGGCTCGTTTATAAAGTTCCTTTAGGGGATCTATAAGGGCTCTAGAAGGGCTTCACGTTTAGAGGGGCTTTGGAGGATTTCTGTAGGGTCTTTTGGCGTCTTAAAGGGTTTTTAGGGTACAGGTAGTACAAGAACCCAACGACCTGCCAAGTTGTTAGCTTCACAGAGCATAAACCGCATCGGGCTTACTCTTAGCTCTTAGTTGTGGTTGACGTGGACTCTGTGTAAAGTTTAGGCTATGTTGGTTTCCGGTTTCCCATGACACCTTACGGTAGATTCCTGGATTGAAGGGTGTTGAACTGGGAAGCTCACTGTGTGGCTGTAAGCAGAGCAGCGGGCGGATCGTAGTACTTTGCAGGAGGTTTCAGTAGACTATTGTACATAAAGCACCATATTCTGGAGAAGTGTTGCGGTACTTGTTTATGCATGCTCCTCGGTGACCTGTTCTCAGCAGGTCATACCTTAAGAACCCAAAACCCACATTTTTGTAGGCTCTTATTATAAACCCTAATATTGGATTTATAGGGACCCTACAAAAAAGTAGGTTTTGGGTTCTTAAGGAAGAACAGCAGAGGGAAGCGCAGAGGAACTGCAGAGAACTCTCAACCTAGAACTGGCCTCCCGTGAGCGGTAACAGTACTGGAAGAAGTGGGGGTCTCCGAAAATAGGAAACCCTAATATAGTACCCTAAATAATAAGATCCCTATTATAAGGACCTCAAAACAATGTACCCTAATTTTCTGAAACTCCCAAGTGCAGTTACTAAGGAATGAAGGAACCTAGAGGCTCCGTATACACTACCATTATGGAATTAAGTCCCAAAAGACCATATGTATTATGGCTTTAGGGACCTAAGTCCATAATGGTAGTATATATGGAGCCTCTGGGGAATGGTCGTAGTCACAGCAACATAGCATCTCATCTGCCACCATCAACGTCGCAAGCCGGGGCCTCTTTTGGGTTCGTGCCATAGCGATACTACGGAGATGGAGGCAAGCACCTTATCATAGTAACTTACTTTTTCGTTCCTTAAACCGATGCCAGGAGAAGGCTGAGCTTAAGCAGCTTTTCGCCAAGCTGATGTGCCCAACACTCGCTTCGAAGCGTTGACGTGCTGCTGCATTTCTGTTGCAGGCTTTTTACCTAGTCGCAATGTCCAATTCTGCTTGCGCGGAGATCTGGATCCCGTCTGGCACTCCTAAACCTAAAGCTTTCAAGCTCAAGACTTTTCAAAGTCTCGCATTCTGTCCCCTGGCTCGAATCAAGCTTGTGGCAGTGATCCCCCTAAACCCTAAACCCTA